AATAGGTGATTTTAATTTTCCAAAGGTTGAGTGGGACTACACCAGTGTCAAAGGTTTGGATAGTGAAGAACTTGCTAATTGTGTTCAAGAAAATTTTCTTTAACATGTAAATATTCTTGGTAGAGACAGGGAAAAAGAAAATAATGTTTTCTTCAGTAATAGGGCAGGGCTAGTGATTGATGTGATAGTGCAGGAACACTTTGGGTCTATGATTGTAATTCTATCAGCTTTAAATTAGTTATGAAAAAGATAATACTTCCTTGAAAGTTAAAATTTTTAATTGAAGTAAGGCAAATATTAACGGTATGAGACAAGAACTTTCAAAAGTCATACAATAGAATCCCTATCGTGTGGAAACAGCAATTTGACCCAACAAGTCCACACCGCCCTCCAAGAGCATCTCACTCAGACCCATTCCCCTATCTAACCCACCTAACCTAAATATCCCTGGGCACAATGGGCAATTTTAGCTTGGCCAATCCACCTACCCTCCACATCTTTGGACCGTGGGAGGAAACTAGAGCACCTGGAGGAAACCCACGCAGACATGGGGAGAATGTGCAAACTTCACACAGACAGTTGCCCAAGGCTGGAATCGCACCCGGGTCCCTGGCGCTCTGAAGTGCTAACCACTGTGCCACCCATTGGAGGAGAGTGTTCACAGGTAAGGGGATGCCTGATAAGTGGAAGGCATTCACAAGTGTCATGTGAAAGTTCAGAGTTAATATGATCGTCTTAGAGGAAAAGGTAAGGCTGGTAGGATAAAGGAACAATGGATGAATAAAGATATTGAGGTTCTCATTGGGAATACGAAAGAAATTGTATGAAATAGAGATGACTGGGTTCAAATGAGTGTAGAGACAGGAGAAAAAAAAATGACCTTTTCATCGGTAATACGGCAGGGCGAGTTACTGATGTGATAGTGAGGGAGCACTATGGAGTGTAGGGGCATTCTGAAGAGATCAGGAAAACAAAGAGGGGATTCAAGATAGCTTTGGTGTTAAGGTTTAGGATAACCCAAAGAGATTCTACAAGATCATTAAAAGCAAGCGAGTGATTAGAGAGAAAGAGTCGAGCTCTTAATACAAAGGTTACTTATTTGAGTTTTGAAACTCAGAAGACAGGCGGAATAGAAAACAAATATTTCACAAATAATATTGTTGGGGGAGAGAAATAGAAGCTAGAGAACTTGGGAAATAAATATTGATATTTTGAAAACAGTTCATATTACAGAAGAGGAAGCGTTGGAGGTCTTAGAAAGCATAGAGTTGAATAAATGTCCAGAATCTGATATACTGTATTGAGGATATTGTAGGAAGTTAAGGAGGAAATTGCAGGAACCCTTGCAGTAACGTTTGTATCGTCTATAACTATGGTGAGGTGCGGCATGACTGGAGGTAGGCTAATATGCCTTTATTTTCAAGAAGGGATGTAAGGAGAAGCTCAGTAAGTATAGGCCTGAGAGTCTGAATTATGTGGTGGGTACATTGTTGGAGGTGATTCCGAAAGATAAGATTCACATGTATAGGGTTGGTGGGGGTTTTCAAAGAATGGTTAGTGATAGTCAGCATGGTTTTGAGTGAGGGAAATTATATCTCAAAATTGATTGAATTTTTTGAGGTAGTAACCAAGATGATTGAGAGCAGAGTGGTAGACTTTGTTTACTTGGACTTTAGTGAAGTGTAGGGGTGACCTGCATACAACAAAGCGGCCCCTGCTTGAACAAAGACACGCAAGGACTGAACAAAATAGGGCGGTCTGCTCTAACATTTAAAGTGAAACATACTAATACTTTGCAAGATATCTGCCCAATGTCGTAGAAAGGCCCTGCAACCCATCATCTGAGACAACGAGGTGTAGAGCTTGATGAACACAGCAGGCCAAGCAGCATCAAGTCAGTTTTGATAAGAGGATGCCTAAGACTGGACAAATGACTCCAGTCTCAATGAAAGGATGTTGCTCCACTAGAGACATAGCACCAGGGGTCTAAATCTTAGCTTAGACTAACTCCCTAAACAGCTACAAAACAGAACAACAGCTAAAGGTATTTCATAGCAGTTAGCTTTTTAAACTATAGTATTTAGAAAAAAAGGTTCTATTTAAAGAATTATTTTGATAATCACAGAAGTAGGTTTCAATATATAACCAGAATATAATACAAGCAGTTGAGGAAAACACATTTAAACCCATGTGAAAGTGAATCAGCTTTAGGACATGCCTTGTCTCACATCCTGAACAAGCTCGATTGATCCAATTCATTAGTGACAAAGTGCTAGCGGTAAAAGTAGCTGTAGAACTTTACACTTTAATTACTGTTATAAGATTAGAACTAATCATGTAGCTGTTACTTAAACTAACTGCCATATATATATCAGGATGTGGGAAATATCAAATTTAATCAATCCTTTTAGAAAGGGGTCACACATAATACCATAAATAATAGGATTCAAACAGCTCTTAGAGATAAAGTCTAGGACAGACCAGGAGTATAACTAACAACTTATAGAATGTGAATTAATAGGATGCATAGAAAGATCCCCAAGGCCCAGTGATGACAATGTCTAGTAAACACCACGAAATAATGAGAACCTATGCTGTTCCTATGACCATGATTGATTCGGTGTCCCATGGGGTTGGGTGTTTGGATTAAGGTGAAGGACAGTGACTACTTTGCATTTGATTATTGTAACACGTAGTGTATAAAAATGCTGTACTTCCTTGTAAAATCAAAGTGGGTCACTGATCTCTCTTCCAATCTGAGCTGTAGATTAAGGGAAAAATGCTTTCTCACATCGAGAACAGATTTGTGGAAGATCCTTTGGCCCTCTCCCCTCATTAACTGGTTTCTTCTTGAATAAACATCTTCCACTTGCCTGAATCCTGTCTGCGTCATGAGTATTTGTTTCTAGCCAGGCTTTGAGGGGGGAAGCGTGGGAATGAGGAGGGTAAGTTCCTTCATGGCAGACAAAATAATAGGGTAAGATTACATGGGACTTGGGGTGAGGCTGGAAATTGGATACAAAACTGGCTTGATGGCAGGAGACGGAGACGGCTTGGCAGTTGCTTTCTGGACTGGAGGCCTGTTACGAGTGGTGTTCCACTCCAACTTGTGTTGGGTCCACTTTTGTTTATCATTTATATAAATGAATTAGATGAGAATTTAGAAGGCATGGGTAGTAATTTTGGAGATGTCACCAAAATTAGTGGCATAGTGGACAGTGAAGATGGTTATCTAAGATTACAAAGAGATCTTGATCAATTGGGTCAATGGCTTGAGGACGGGCAGATGGATTACTGAGGCATTGCATTTTTGAAAAACAGAGTGGCAGGGCTTGTAGAGATTCAAGTAGGGCCTTGGATAGTGTTGTAGAACAGAGAGAACTAATGGGTCAAGTATATAGTTCTTTGAAGTTTGCGTTAGCTGTAGACCACGTGGCACCTGGCTTCATTACTCACTCCTTTTGAATACAGGACATTTTTGAGACTTTTACTGAAGCACTATATCAGGTTCTGGTCACCCTGTTAGGGAAGGATATTATTGCACTGGAGGAGCTTCCGAAAAGATTTACCAGGATGTTGAGGTAACACAATGTGGAGCTCGAGGAACACAACAGGCCAGGCAGCAGAGAAGCAGGAAAGGTGACTTTTTCAGAAAAAGGGTCCTCACCCAAAAAGTCAACTTTCCGGCTGCCTGGCCTACTGTACTCCTAAAGCTCCACACTGTGTTATCTCGTACTTAGTACTTGATGCATTGGGTCATTTTAGATCTTCTCAAATGCAGTTACAGGAAATATGAAACTGGTTGTGAGCGAGGGACTGAGATGCATTTATATGACGATGATTAAAGTCACAGGTAGTTACAGAGCAATAACAAATAATGCAATCCGAACGCTATTACAAATGCGATTCATTATAAATTCGTGATAAACGTTTCACTTTCCATGTGTTTCAGCTATTCCGTGAACGTGACTGACTGCAGCCTGTTAGTAAAGATTTCATGTTAGATCATGCACACAGTGACAGTAAGAGTATCAAATAGCAAAGGGGCTGAAACGGACATCAAACAATTAATGCACAAAAAGACATTCCGACAGAGGGGATGGTCTAGCTTCTTTCACTGATGTTCTGGGTGGCTCTTAAAAGAGCCTTTGGGTTGTCAGATGAGACAACGGTCTCTTCATTTTTTAGTGGCGCCCCCAGCGGTGGTTTTCTTGGGCGGCAGCACCCCACCCTGAGCGATGGTCACCCCTCCCAATGCTCCTCGTCGTTGCGCACGGCCAGCTGGAGGTGCCTGGGGATGATGCGGGTCTTCTTGTTGTCCCGGGCAGTGTTACCGGCCAGCCCGAGGATTTCAGCCGTCAGATACTCCAGCACCGCAGCCAGATAGACCGCCGCTCCGGCACCCACACGCTCAGCATACTTACCCTTTCTCAGGAGCCTGTGAACACGGCCCACTGGGAACTGCAGGCCAGCCCGGGACCAACAGGACTTCGCCTTGGAGCGAGCTTTCCTCTCCCGGACACTGCCACAATCTCACAAACACTTTCACAGAAAATGTTGCAACCCGCCCACATTCCGGCCTCTTATACCTTCGGGAGGAATGGTGGTGCGGCCGTTGATGATTGGCCACCTTGTTCAGCATCTCCTAATATCGTTTCAATTCCCAATCAGATATCTGCTTCACTCACCAATCCGGAGAGGGTCCGGGGTGGAGGCCGGAAAATACCGGCGTCAAATCATCAACCGCTTTCTTTCCGATTTGAAAAGCCCGCCAATATGTACCAAAAAGTAGGAAGTTTAACACAATAGAATGCACGAATACTCGAGTTAGTTTACTCTTTGATTCTGAATGTATACTTTATATAATCTCCCTTTCCCTCATTTCCCCAACCTCCTTGAATATGACAATTTCTGACATAGAATCGGATTTTCTGAACTTTAAATGCAAGCGGAAACAAAAAAGCGCCAAAATCTGCACTCTGCAACGAATTTATTTCGCATTTCAAAAACACCCGATAAGTTGATAAAACATTCGATAACGTTCTTCCAGGTGAGCGCATTAATTGCGGACACCGTTTTTCGAGAATATTTAAACGCGGCCCTCCCAAATTGCACTCGATCAGAGTTCAGCAAAAGCTCCACATTTACTATGCCAGTCTGGCAGCTGTTCTGGTTTTATCTCGGCTCATTTTGAAAGTATCTCCCCGACAGCAAAAAGCCTCAGCAACCCGACAAAACCCGCGAGGAGATCTGGAAATAAAACAAAAGGGTGAAACGGAACTCGGAGGAAAAGTATATTTTCTTGCTTGCCCTTTTGCATACGCCACTAGGTCTTGTAGCTTCTGAATCGATTGAGTGACAGAGGGTAACACGATCACACAGAAATTGCTCAAAATAGCTCATTGGTGTTTAACATGATCCCTGTCCACAGGCAGCGATTACAGATGTGTATGGACACATCGGAGAACAAGCGCGCACAGGGTCAGGGATCACTTGTTAATTTACAGAAAATTTATAAAATACAGATGTCGTACAGACATTAACATAACAGTTCAGCTGTTTCTGGGAAGCTGTGGGTGGCTCTTAAAAGAGCCTTTGGGTTTTGGTTGTGTGTTTTTCAGTACACTGTGGTGTCTCACTTGGAACTGGTGTACTTGGTCACCGCCTTTGTACCCTCCGATACGGCGTGCTTGGCCAACTCCCCGGGCAGCAGCAGCCGCACGGCGGTCTGGATCTCCCGGGAACTGATGGTGCTGCGCTTGTTGTAATGGGCCAGGCGGGAAGCCTCTCCCGCGATGCGCTCGAAAATATCGTTGACGAATGAGTTCATGATGCTCATGGCCTTGGAGGAGATGCCGGTGTCGGGGTGAACCTGCTTCATCACTTTGTAGATGTATATAGAATAACTTTCTTTTCTAGACCTTCTTCTCTTCTTACCGCTTTTCGCTGGCGCCCTCTTCACCACTTTCTTCGCACCCTTCTTCGCAACTTGCCCTTTCTTTTCCTCTACCATTGCGACAGTCAATAACCAACACAGAATAAGAGAAAGCAGGCTCAGAACTCGCTTTTTATAGCCTGATGGCGTCAGCAATGCTAATGAAGGATGGGAGAAAGCCTTGTTCCTGAATGGGTAGTTTACAAGAATGTTAAAACATGGCATTAGCCTCTCTGTGATTGGTTAGTGTGGGACACAACGTGGATCTGCCAGGATCTGCAATGAAATTTCAAACGCAAATCGAAATTTTGTGCACGGATCAAACTCCGAGCTTTCTCTAAATCGTGAGATCCTAATCGCGATTTATTCTACATCTTTTGATAATGGTTTTCTTTTCTCCTCCGTTCAAAAATGTCATCACGTTAGTTGTCAAGTGACAAAATGCACTGAAATCTGACAGTGGTGTGTTTCACTCCTGGAAATGATGGAACTACTGACAATTGCATCGTGCTTGATGAACATGGGAGTTCGGGAATGTTCTCTCTTGCTTGTGTTTCTTGTTCTACACTCTCTGAAGTTTAAGGACATTATACCAGCATCTGCTCCGTCAACACCCTCCAGTTTTCGTTTCCTCGAAAGGTTTGACGTCCTTCTTCAAATCTCCAATAAGTATAGGCCTAAACTATTCATACTTTCCTCGGAATACCTGCCAGCGTGTGTCGGTGTCAGTTTTACTCGGATTACCTCGATGACAAAAGAGAACTGATGTACTGTGACCCGTGCCTTTCGCTTTCTGCTGATTACACAAATTTTACTCTCTATCCCTTAGGCTCTTCAATCAGTGTCAGCAGCTTTCTGCCGACATTTCAGTTCCTGGAATCTTGCTTTGCACTTAATTAGTGTGGATGTTATTTTGTGCATTTCAGTTTCTAGCAATAATTGTTTTTTCATGGATTTTCTCTGAACTTTATTTGTCAACACGTCAGTTGTATGCACACTGATTATTGTCATTTAAGAATATTTTGAACACAGTACCTTTTGCAAATTTTAATTGTGACAATCTCTTCCGTGTAGATTTTTTTTTTGTTTTATCACTATCAATGAGTCCCTGATTACAGTGTGAATGATATTGTGTTGTTCAGAATTTCAGGTTGACGAAGGGTTAGTTTTATTTCTCATTATTGGCTGTGTAAAAATGGGAATGCAGTTTTCGATCTGCCACTTCAGCTTCCACCAGGTGAATGATTATTACTCCCTCACGATCTGTCCATCAGTTTTTGCTGACCGAATGTGAGTGTGGAGTAATCAATCTGTACCAATCAGTTCCTCCAGTGATTATGCTTGTGTAATTATCAGACTATCCCCGAAGCTCTCTCCTGTGTGAATGTGTAATTGTAGTTATCAATCTGTCACTATCAGGTCTTTGCTAAGTACGTGTGTACCAATTTCTGCTGTGAATGAGAGTTTGGTTATCCATATGTTTATGTTCATTTCACAGCCTCTCTTTCAGTTTCTGCATTGAGAATATGGAAATGTATTTATTATCTGTACCTGTCCGTTTCTATCACGTGGAAATGTAATTGTTGTCATTAATGTGTCCCTGTCAGTTAGTGCAATTCAAGATTGTGACTGTAGTTATTAACCTGGCCCTCTTAGTTTCTGTTATGTCCAGATTGATCTGGACCTGTCAATTTCTGCTAGGTGCATATGTGAGTGTCAATACATGCCTGTCAGTTTCTTGTCTGAACATGTGAATGTAGTTATCAAAACTGTACCTGTCAGTTAATTTGCTGTGAAACTGGGTGTGTAATTATCAATTTGCTCTTATCAATTTCTGCATTGTGAATACGAGTGTGCTTACTCATCTTTCTAGGACAGTTATTGTTGTGTGAATGTGTGAGCGTATTTACCAATCTGTCCCTGCCAGTTTCTGAAATTTGAATGTGATTTTATTTATCAATCTGTACCAGTCAGTTTTTATTTTAGCACTTTCAGTCTCTACCTGACAGGTTCTGCTATTTCAACATTTGAGTTCAGTTACTGATCTGTAATGCCAGTTTCTGCTAGGTGAATGTTTCAGCACAGTTATTCATTTGTACCTCATACTTTCTGATATCGAAAATTGTAGTTATTAACCTGTTTTTGTTGGTAAGTGCAATGTGAATGAGAATGTAGTTATTTGGCAGTTTCTGTCATGTGAACATCTGAGTGTCATGAATCTATCCATCACTATTACCACAATATTAGTGGTGTGACTAGTTATCAACATGTCCCTGTCAGTTTCTGTTGTGAGAAGATATGACTGTAGTTATCCATCTGGCCTGTCAGTTTCTGCAATGTCAATTTGTATGTTTAGTTATGGATCTATATCTGTCATTTTCTGCTCAGGGTGTGTGTGAGAGAGTGTGCATGTGTAGTTATCAATGTGTAACTGTCAGATTCTGCACTGTTGATATGCATGCAGTTATTACTCTGCACCTGTCAGTTCATGCTGTGTGACACTGGGAGGGTTATTACCAAGCTGTTGCTGTCAGTCTCTGCTGTATGGATATGTGAAGTTAGTAATCAATATGTACCTATGAGAATCTGCTTGTGAAAATTGGAGTGTAGTTATCATACCGCACCTGACAGTTTTGTTTAAAATCTGTGGATATTTGAATGCAGTTATAAAATTGGACCTGTCAGGTTATGCTGTGAATCTGCGAGTGTTATTATCAATCTGTTTTTCTGTGTTTCTATGATGTGAATATGTCAGGTCCTGTTAGTTTGATACGTGAGCATAGTTATTAATGTGTACATATTCCTTTTTATAATATGAATTTGTGAATGTTTTAGCAAATTTAACAGGTAAAGTTTGCTATGTCAATATGTGAGTGTCATCATCAATCTGTTTTTGCCTGTTTCTGCAATGTGAATGAATGAGCAGAGCTATCAATACATGCTTGTCAGTTTCGATTTGATAACGTGGCTTAACTCTCTGGCAGCCAGTAATATTCTCAGGTGCGAATGCGATTTGTTATGTGGTAGTTGTTATGAGGGTGATTTAATGCAGCTTAGATTCAGTTCCTGAGTGTATATGTGGGACGAGTACTCGGTCCATCCATCTTCAAAACTGGTGTAAATGTCAATGGGCTATGAATGCTGAAAGGTGACGTTGACTTGCTCACCGAGCTGGCTTGTTTTTGTTCACACGTTGCGTCAGCATGCGAGGTGATATCATCAGTGGAGCCTTCGATGAAGTGATGTTGTTCTACTCCGCGTGGAATTTATACTGTCTGGTCCATTATGGTGAGTACTGTCATTTCAGTTTTGATCTGTATGGGTTTATATATGGGGTCCAATTCTATATGTTTGTGTGGACAACCATGCTTCTTGGAATTTCTGTGCGTGTCTATGTTTCGCTTGGGCTACTATGGTTACTTTGTCCAACAAAAACAAAGTTGCTGGAAAAGCTCAGCTGGTCTGGCAGAATCTGTGAAGGAAAAAACAGAGTTAACCTTTCGGGTCCAGTGACCCTTCCTCAGAACCAGTTACTGATGAGCTTTTCCAGCAACCTTGTTTTTGTTCCCAATTTACTGCATCCACAGTTCTTTCAGTTTTTATATGGTTACTTTATCCCATTTCAACTGATGGCCTTCATTGTCTGAATGTATTGTATATTCAGACAATGAAGGCCATCAGGTTAACTGGGACAAAGTAACTATAGTAGCCCAAGCCAAACATAGACACACATGGGAATTCCTAGAGGCATGGTTTTCCATCCATACTTCAAATCAACAAACGTATAGAATCGGACCCCATATATAAACTCATACAGATCAAAACCAGAAATGACAGTACTCACCATAACAGAACAGACGGTATAAATTCCACGCGGAGTAGAACACATCACTTCATCAGAGGCTCCACTGATGATGTCACCGAGCATGGTGATGAAAACGTCTGAACAAAAACAAGCCAGCTCAGCGAGCAAGTCAGCAACACTCTCCACTACCCGAGCTGCAGATCTTTGCCCAACCTTAAATGCTGAAATTTGTTCAAACTGGGCAGGTGTGCATGGTGAATGGTGAAAAAAAAACTTGTGTTTCCTGTGTGTTGTTTGAGCATATCTCGCTGGAAATTGACTTCAATGTATGTCTGACTGAATCTGCTCTGTGCCTGTGGGAAGGATGTTCTCTGCTCTGACAGCGG